GTTCTAGTCTGTACCATCCTTGCCATCTCTGACATACTCAAGCCTGTTGTTAGTCATGGTGTCAATCCAGCTTTTAGAAGATTTTCTTCTATTTCTCTGACCCTCCACTTTTCCTGGATGGTGTCTTTTTCCAGTGACTGGCTCCTCCTGATATCTGACCAATGTAAGTGAGACTAAGTTTCACCATCCTTACCTCTAAAGACTATGCTGGTTGCACTTGCTCCAAACAGCTTTATTTGTTCTTTTGGTAGTTCATAGGGTGTTCAGTGCTGTTCTCCAAAACTGCAATTCAAAAGCATCGTTTCTTCCACTGTCATCCTTATTGTCCAACTTTGAGATGTTTAAGAAATAATTGAAAAGACTATGACCTGCATCAGGCACACCTAGGTCTTGAAATGCACGTCATTATTCTTTAGTACTTTGGAGAGGTTCTTGACAGTAGATTTTCCCAGTGTAATACATCTTCTGATTTCTTACTGCTGTTACCATGGATGTTGACTGTGAATCCAAGTAAAATGAAAACATTGACAATATCAGTCTTTTCTCCCTTTATCATAATGTTGCTTATTGACACAATAGTGAGGATTTTTGTCTTCTTGAGGTTGATATGTATATTGAAGACCGCTATATTTGGTTGTCTGCAGCAAGTGTTTCAAGCCCTCTTTACTTTCAACAAGCAAGGCTGTGTCATCTACATAACACAATTTTTTGGTGAATTTTCTTCTTGATATCACATTCCTCTTCATATTGCTCAGCTTCTCAAATTAGAATGGTGAACAATCCCCTCCCATATGTGATTTACAACCTGTGAGAACCCTCTGGAAAATCAACTATGAGTAGATTCCAATTTTTTTTAATGTTTTATTTTATTGTATGTGTGTGTGTGTGTGTGTGTGTGTGTGTGTGTGTGTGTGTGTACTGTGAAATTGGATCTGACAAGTACAGGAAAAGATTGTCCCTCCTTCTCCAGCAGAGCATCTGGTGGATTCGAACCGCACACCTCAGGGATTGCAGTACAGCTTCTTGCCAATAGGCCATCAGAGCTCGCCGAGTAGATTCCAATTTTAAGGAAATAAGTTTATGTTTTGACTGGTGTTACTGTTTTAGCTTTTGTTGGTGTATTTTCTTTTTTAATGAAATTACTTTGCCAACGAATTTTAGGTGACTTGATCTTCTAAAGCATCTTATCTATGCAATGCATGTTTGCAAAACTCCAAATTCTAGTATTGATAGTAAATTATATTTTCTGTCTGACTTCTTCATTCTCTTGCATACGTGCCTCAAGAATGAATATATTTTTTAAAAAGAATGAATATATTTTAGCAAATATTGATTAGTTTCAGTTTTTATCCTATCCAGCATAGTTTTATTTTTAGTTCCTAAGTAAAGAAACTCTAACTTTACCCTTTTCTGTCTTACACAGAGAAAAGCCTTTTGGAAATTGCTTTGACAAAATTATAAACTCTTTTTTTTTTTTAAATTCCATGAAGGCTATGTAGTTTGTTGGGTTTTTTTTAAAATAAAATATTGGTAAATTTGGGGGTTTTAAAAATTTGATTTACATTTTGTTGACTTTTGAGATACGTTAGAACAAAAGTTTAGGGTCAATGTCTTAGACTAGAGGCCAAAGAAATATATTAATGAACAGGGAAATTCACAAATCAGAACGCAGAACACCCAGACAGGTACACAGTGCTCAAGCAGGCTGAGATCTCACAAGCATTGCCTACTAACAGCAAGACATGACAGTTAAACAAATAAACAAACAAAAACAAAAAAATGCACACTCAGATTGACCACCTGGAATAAGTTCTTCTGCTGAGCATTTTTCAATAAATAATTAAGATCAAGCCCGGGCATATTTTTGCCTAAGAAGAAGATACTTAAGCACATTCCTTGTCTAAACCCCTTTCTACACATTAAACTAAAAAAAAAATTCACTTGACATTGAGTGGGAAATGCCTCATCACTGTCCTTTCAAGTAGGGTTTCAGAGGCTGTTAATCTCCTGAGAGGAAACTGACCCTCTTACTCCCCAATGCAGCTAGTGGATTCAAACAACTAGAGAAATGCTTTCTTTGAGTTATCTGAACAACTCGATACAAGTTACACCACCCGAGCTCCCTCTTCACATTGTTGTTCTTGTTATGTGCCATCGAGTCGTTTGCAAATCACAGTGACCCTATGTACAACATCCCTAAACAATGTTCTGTCCTGTTCCAATCGCACCGTCTCCGATACACCCATCCTGATTACCCCAGTCATTGAATCAATCCACCTCATAGGGGGCCTACCCTTTCTGTGCTGTCCCTCCACCGTACCAAGCATGATGTCCTTCTCCAAGGACCTATCCCTCCTTGCAACATGTCCAAAGTATGTTAGACGGAGCCTTAGTATCCTTGCCTCTAAGGAGCGCCCAGTTTGACCCTTTCCAGGATGAATCTATTTGTTTTCCTAGCAGTCCATGGTACCCTCATTACTCTTCTCCAGCACTACAGCTCAAAAGCATCAATTCTCCTTCTATCCTCCTTAGTCCTTGTCCAACTCTCTGATGCATAACAACTGATAGCAAAGACCATGATCTGTATCAGATGCATCTTAGTCTCCAGAGAGACACCATTGCCCTTCAGTACTTTGGAGAGGTCCCTAACAGCAGACTCTCCCATCACAATATGTCTTCTAATTTCCTGGCTATTGGTGCCGAGAGTGTTGACTGTGGAACCAAGCAAACTAAAGCTGTGAACAATCTCAATCTCTTCACCATTCATCCTGATGCTGCCAGTTGGCCCAGTGGTGAGAATCTTTGTCTTCTTGACATTGAGCCTCAATCCATATTGGAGGCTGCAGTTCTTGACTCTCTGCAGCAAGCACTTCAGGTCCTCCTCAGTTTTCAGCAAGCAGGATTGTATCATTTGCATATTGCAGATTGTTGATAGATCTTCCACCAATCTTGACCCCACATTTCTCCTCATAGAGCCCAGCCTCCCGGATAATCTGTTCTGCATACAGGTTGAAAAGGTATGGAGACAGGACACATCCCTGGTGTACGCCCTTCCCAGTTTTGAACCATGTGGTGTTTCCTTATTCTGTTCTGACGACTGCCTCTTGGTCCCAGTATAGGTTCTCATTAGCATGATCAAATGTTCTGGAATTCCCATTCTTCTCAGAGTCAGACACAGTTTTTATGATCCACACAGTCAAATGCCTTTGTATAATCAATGAAACACAGATATACATCCCTCTGGTATTCCCTGCTTTCAGTTAAGATCCATCTAACATTAGCTATAATATCCCTAATACCATGACCCCTTCTAAGCCCAGCCTTGACTTCTGGCAGTTCTCTGCTGATGTGCTGTGCCAGTTGTTTTGGGATAATCTTCAGGAGAATTTTGCTCGCATGTGAAATCAATTATATTGCTCTATAGTTTCCAAACTCTGTTGGGTCACCCTTCTTTGGGATGAGAACAAATATAGATCTCTTCCAGTCAGTTGTCCAGGTGGTTGTTCTCCAGATTTCTTGGCATAACTTGGTGAGCACGTACAGAGCAGCATCTGTTAGCTGAAATATGTCAATTGGTATACCTCTTCACATTAGTCTATTTTAAACCGTAACTAGCTTGGAGGCAGGAGCAGCATCCACTTCTGAAATGGGTTGCTTCCGGGAACTCTATGAACAGTGCTCAGGCCTTTCATTCATTCATAGGGTCACTAATGAGTCTTCTATGACTTGACGGCACCTAACAACCACAGCAGTAACATGCTTTCTGAAAGCAAGTTGTCCCTCCCTTATATCAACGTTCATGAGCCATCTTCTCAAAAATAGAAATAGAGCTAAGGGAATAATGGAGTTGGGCCAAACTTTGTGGAAGTCATGACAAATAAATACCTCTGATTTTGAATGACCTTTGCATAGACTCTGGTTGCTTGTATTGCCCTTAGATATAATTCAGATCAATGTCTATTACAAATAAAATTACTTCCTAAACCTCCATATCTATTTTCTAATCACGGGTATATTTAATGCTTAAACTATGGGCTCAAATTTACTACTGTCCAATGTAGATTTTTCTCCCCCTGTCATCATCAAATATAATCAAGGGTTCTATTGTCTTTTAATTTGTTTTATTTTTAATTTACTCTTTAAAAGAACCCAACTTTCTGTTTTTGATGTAAAAGTCTTCTTTTAAATGTAAGTTTAAAAAAAGTGATTCTTCTGAATTATGATGTTGGCAAAGAATAATAACTATTCTATGGGCTGCCAGAAGACTGAACAAGTTTGTGTTGAAAAGAAGTACATTTAGACTGATCATTTGAAGTGAGGATAGCTAGGCGTTTGTCTCCTAAACTTTGGGCATATTATCAAGTTAACTAATCCCAAGAGAAGCTCAATCTGCTTAAAGAACAGAGGATCAGTGCAATAAAAGGAAGACCCATAGTGAGATGGATGGACACAGTTATTGTAACAATAGACTTAAACCAAACATCCCAGAGATTGTGAGATTGACACAGAATCAGGAAGGCTTCATTCTGTTGTGCATAGTGTCATTACAAATTTGGACAGAACAGAGAGTATTTAATAATAATAAGAGTTAGATTCAACCACAAATTTTTTTAAAAAAGAGAGAAATATGATATTATTAAATACCAGTGCTCATTTTCCTTCTGACATGGAATTAGAAAACCATTTGGGTTATTGAAGAAAGGCAATAAAGCTATTATTTTACTTAATAATAAAAACATTAACAGGCTTAATGGAACAACATGGAGAAAAGTATATTAGCATTTTTCTTCTCTCGCTGAAATATCTACTGTGACCTCTTCAAACTTTTATAACAATCATTATAATGATATGTGCATGCATGAGTAGACCTATTTATAATGGAAAGAGAAATGCTCATTTCAGAATGTTGTGATAAGAATTGAAATGTATATATATCTGCATGCATGTAGATATCTTTGTTCTTAAGCTTTTTAAGATAATTTCTCTTTTTCCCCCTCAAGGTAACCTTCAAAGCATCAAGGCATTCAGTATCACCAGATTTAAAATATGTTCTTCTGGCGTATGATGTCAAACAGGTAAAAAAGTGATCTTTTTAAAGAATACGTCCCTTGTGATGCATTCAAATGGCAGTTCATGTTTTTCCTCGAGCATCCGTCTTTGCATCTAGGGAAATTATAGCATGTCCTGTAATTGCAGAGTGATGCAGAATGTTAATGCAGAACGAGATAGGTTTTAGAGATAATGCTCTTGTTTGGTTAGCAAAAACTTACCATGCGCTTATGCAGATCCAAATCTACCTGGTTTCAGAGCATGGGAAGATCTAATAAACTTAATAGGAGCTTTTCAAATTCTGAGGATATCTTACTATATGCTTGATATTAATTAACTGAATATATTTGGGATTCTTTGTATCTAGAGTTACAGTGAATATAGTATGGATAGTCTGAGAGAAACATTAATACCGGTTGTGGCCAGCAGACTATTTAGGGGTATTTGGTTGTTAAGTATTGTGGGTTTGAAAATTCTACATGTGATTGTGAGCAAATAAAATGCTGTAATTGCAATTAATGCTTTATTATTCCATGTCAGCTTTAAAGCACAATTAGAGCAATATGTATGGTGGGTGAGTATTTTGTACTAAAATATAGTTTGCACTGTTAAGAAGCAAATTAAATGTTGCAAAGGCAATTCAGCAGTTTCATTTGTAGAGAATAAATTATTGGAAATCATTCAGAAAAGTTTTATGAGCTTAAAGAAAGACAATAAAAATGAGAGACTTCAGGTAAGAAACCTCGTACAGTGCATTGAAAGCTTTGGGAAGCATGTTGTTTGATGGTTTTTGGATATTTTAGAATATACATATGGTATGTTTTTAGAGGCTGCAGTCCTTGACCCTCTGCAGCAAGAGTTTCAGGTCCTCCTCAGTTTCAGCAAGCAGGGTTGTGTCATCCACATATCACAGATTGTTGATAGATCTTCCACCAATCCTGATGCCACACCTCTCCTCATAGAGCCCAGTCTCTTGGATAATCTGTTCTGCATACAGGTTGAAAAGGTATTTTGGTAATTTACAATAATAAAATAAGCTGGAATAATAGATAACTTTTCCTATTGTGTCTTCCTTTTGCTTTATCATTATTAATTTTTGCTGTATGGTTCTGTTGTTCATTACAATTTGAAATATTATATATAGTTTCAAAGGGGGTAACTGACATATGTAAACCAAAATCTGCATTTGTTGGGCATCTAGGTAGGAGTTATCAGTCCTTGGAGAAGGAAATCTTGATTGGAAGGGTGGAAGTTTATTATAAGAGAAGAAGATCCTCAACAAGATGAATTAACACAGTTTACTGTATTAATGGGCTCACTGGTGTCAAATACAGTGAGTATGGCACAGAATAGGGCAGCATTCTGATATGTTCACAAGATCATTTTGAGTCACAGTCTATTCAGTGGCACATAAAAACATAAAAGGGAAGTTTGAACTAAAAATCTTTTATCTAAAGAATTTGAAGTAAAATAATTACTATATTCAGCTGATCATGAGCTTTAAAATTACATATGTCAGTAATTATGGCAACCAAGACTGTGTGGTACTGATAAAGAGGTAGAGACACAGGTTGATGGAACAGACAGAATCAGAAGTAGGCCTGTGTGAATATGCAGAACTGCTAGTCTGATATTTCACAAAATGCAGTAAGTTGGAGGAAAAAGAGAGGGTTTATCCCCCAATAAATGATGTGGCAATTTTTGTTGTTATTGATTGTGTTGTATTGATTTGACTTGAAAGTCAAATACGACTCACAGCAACTCTACAAACAAAAGGCCCGAAGCCCCTCTTTCACTATCGACAGTTATCAAAGTCCATATAGTTTCCAGAGGTATGTTGTTTAGGAAGTGGATGCCACTCCTGCTTCCAATTGTAGAAATTAGACAGTCATAATTTAAAAAAAATCACCTCAGTGGCCTAACACTTTTTAATAATTCTAGTTGTTTCCTAGAATTGTTGGTAAAATTTTTAATTTTAAAATCTGGAGGCAAAAAATAAACGAGGAGAAAATCTTTGCAATCTATAGCTAAATAAGGAATTCTTAAATACACTCTAAAATTACAACTTACAAAAGACAAACTGATCTTTGAATTTTGTCAATATTAGAAATATTGATCTGTAAAAGGACTAGGTACAATAATGAAAACTCAAGGTAGAGATTGAGAGAAAATACATGCAATTCAAATAACTGACAAAGGACTATATATAAAGAACTCTCAAAACAAAGCAATTAAAAAAACAAAAAGCAGAGAAGTAAACAATTTAGAAAATGAGCAGAGGTCAAGAGAAATCTTTTTTACTGAAAAGAACATAGAAATGGCAAATTAACACGTGAAAATGTGTCCATATCATTAGGCATTTAGTAAAATACAAAACCAAATCAAAGTCTTTTATCATTGCACACATACAAGAAAATTTAAAAAAGAAAAGAAAATGATGATATCTGAAGCTGGGAAGCATACAGAGATATACCGTCACTAATGCATTCCTTGTTGGAATGTAAAATGTTTCAGCCACTCTGGAAACTGTCTTAATAACTTCTTTACAAAACTGAAATTGCAACTACCATCTGACTCAGCACTTACACTGCTGGGAATTTATCACTGAGAACTGAAAATACAGGTTACACACACACACACACACACACACACACACACACACAATCTCTGCACAAATATTTATGATAATCCAAAACTGGGGAAAACCCAGTTTCACTTGGTGAATGGTTAAATAAAATACGGTAATCAAAAAAGAACTCGTTATTGACACATGCACAGTCATTATACCGACTGAACAAAGCATTTCTAAAGAATTCCATACTAGAAAAAGTGACAGATTAGTGATGGGTGAGTTGTAGGGAGAGCAGTGAATGTGGCCATGTGATTTTACAGTTCAGAATGAGGTATCAATTTGGAGATGAAAAAGTCTATATCTTGACTGTACACATGTTAATATTCTGCTTGTTTTGTTATACTCCAGTTTTACAGTTTGTTATCAATAATGGAAGTTAGGTGAAGAGTATATAGTGTCTCCTCATATTCTTTCTTATTACTGCATGCAAATTGACAATTATAACAAAAAGTTGAATTTAAAAAGCTGTAATTGAAAAATATTTTCTAAGATGATATTGTTGTGTGCTGTCACTTTGAAATTGATCCATAGCTGACCCACCAGAAGGCTTTCAGAGGCTGTAAATTGCACAGAAGGTGATTGTGCATCTTTCACCCATGTTTCCTAAGACTGAAAAATGATTATTTAAATGCATAAAAGTCATCATTTGTATGAATTTTATAAAATCTGTGATATCTTCTTCAAATAAGTTTTTAGATAGATGACAAATATGTTAATACCTGTTTCCATATTTATAAAATTTTATGATCTGAATTAATTTTCAAAGATTTTTAGCAGCAGTGTTTAAATAAAATAGTAAGATGTAATTGAATAATAAGTAAACAAGTGTATTGCATCTGTGTTAATGCCAGTCAATGTATCTCTAGAAGAATAATTATTTTTAGATACGTTAAGTTGATTGACTATATATTGAGAAATAAAACTTGTATTACAGTATACAAGGTCATCCTCTTACATTATCTAAACCCAGAAATTAAAGTTACTTTTCCATTTTATTTTTAAATAATTATTTTGACAACTTGTGTCTTTGGAATGGGAATAAATATGGATCTCTTCCTTTCAGTTGGCCAGGTAGCTAATTGACCAGAATACTTGGCAGTACCTGATGAACAAGTCCAGAGCAGTATCTGTTTGTTGAAGTATGTCAATGGATATGCTGTCACAAAACTTTGTTTTTTGCCAAGTTCTTCAGAGCATCTTGAACTTTCTTCTTCTTCACCATTGCCTCTTGATTATCATCCAGTTTTTTTGGCATAGAGCCTTTTTAAATGATATGTTGTCCTTGTTGTTAGGTGCTGTTGAGTCATAGATGACTCATAGCGACCCTATGAACGAAAGGCCTGATCACTGTTCATACACAGAGTTTCGGAGGCAAGCCGTCTCGGAAGTGAATGCCGCTCCTGCTTCCAGGCTTGTTTTAGTCGGGAAGCTCCAGCAAACATTGTCCATCATGGGTACCCATTACCACATTTGCCACATCTGTGTCCCAGTGTTCAGCATCACAGCAGCCACGAGTTACCTCTGTGCAACAATGCACAGACCAGTACGGTACCCAGAAGAATGTTTGACAGGAAAACAATTTGAACCCTGCCTGAGGGTTGCAGATTAAAATCACCCACCTTCCGCTTGGTAGTATAACTTTCTGTCCACTAGGCCAACGTAGCTCTCTCTATGTCATCATTGTTACCTAAGAGAAAAAAAAATAAGTAAAACTCAAAATCTTATATTATTTCACTTATTCATTTTATTTATCATTTGCCAGATAGAAACTACTGAAGTATTTATTTTGCAAGATGTGTGTGTGTGTGTGTGTGTGTGTGTGTGTGTGTGTGAGAGAGAGAGAGAGAGAGAGAGTTTGTAAGATTAATTCAACTATCTTTGGAACACAGAATCAAAGATAGTGGGCATAAACATGTATGTCTATCACATAGAATATTCAGTGGTCTGTTATACAAGTGGAATGAAGTAGAGAACTTTTTTCATCATGATTTTTGTTGTTGTTGTGTGCTGTCAAGTAGGAACAAACCCATAGCCGACCCACTGGCAGGTTTTAAGCGGCTGTTAATCACATGGGAGAAGATTGCCCATCCTTCTCCCATAGAGCAGCTGCTGGATTTGAGCTATGTGCCTTCAGGATTGCAGTATGGCTATTGCCACTTTGCCACCAGGGCAGGAGGGTATTTTGGATAGGGGAGTAAGTATATGATGGGTTCTGAAGGGCAGATCGTTTAAATATGAAGAAAACCCTTACTCCTTGTGGCTAGACAAAATAAGAAAGGACCACATGAAACCAGCTCACGGGTAGCAGTTGATTAAACCAGTGCACATGTTGACAATTTAGAAAGGAAAAAGAAAATAAACCATGTAAACTTAAATTCAGCCCCAACTTTAGAA